AAATCTCCAAAGTGGGTAACAGACGGTTGAACATTAACTAGAACCAGAAGAACAGGTGTCAATTAGGGCTGTGCAATATGACCAAAATCTCATATCCCTATATAAACATTTCTTATCCCAATAATGATGTATATCATAAAGATTTTACATTTTCTGTAAATTCAGTGAATCTTCGGCAACTTGACTTGTATTTTCAGCTGGGTGTCGTGTTCCTGGAGTTGAGTGTTTTGACCGATGCATAAAACTATATATTTTTAGACACAAGTTCTAACAACGGCTATTTTCTTTGTGAGTATTTATTACACGGCGTGTTGCGGGGAAAAGCCTGTTCTAACATTTGAGTCTAAGGTTTCTTTTTTTTACCACCTGACAGCTCTTTTTTGCTTCTCATCCGTAAACTCTCTCCATGCTCTTTCAACTGATACTTTCGTAGGTGGTTGAAGAAGTTTGCCGTGTTTGAGTCTGTGGTGGGGACCGGTTTGTGGCATCATTTGCACAGTACAGTTTTCTGGTCCGTGTCAGACTTTTCATTACCAAACCATGTCCATGCTACAGAGGTAGCCCCTCATTTCGAAATAAGGTTCTCGATTTGGTTTGACTGGTCCTTCTGTTTGAAGCTACCTGGGACTTCCTCATCATCACTGGCCATGCTGGTATTCTCGATGCCTGCATCCACGTGGTGACTGTAAGTGCCATTTATAGTTACTTCATGTTTTTATTTGAGGTAATTTGTTTGATGCATATCCTAAAATTTGATGTTTGAGAATACTGTATTTTGTCATCATTTCAGTTTATTTGGAAAAATCTCAACAGGATCATGAGCTTTATTGTGAAAACCGACACGTAAAACAGTCACTTATCTGTCCATAATGTGGTTATTTTAAATATAAGAGAAAGAGAGAACTTTAATAAATTAATATAGCCACTACAGTGACCATCAAAATGATGAAAAAATATTGCTGTAAACAGTGAATTTTGCAACACCACAAAATAAACAATAGCGTATAATATGAAACAATAGATATTTAATATCGTCATCAGATATATATCGTCATATCGAGCAGCCCTAGTGTCAATGTATATAACTTTAATGAACCTTAACTATCCTTCTAGTCACAAGAATTTTTTAAAGCCATGCCATTTACTGCACAACAGCAATCAGATGAACTCATCGGATTTTGGTAAATGACAGCAACCTTAAGTGGATATGCTAGCCTGGAGATTTAAAGTCTGCAACTCTTAAACAGAGCACGTCTTGATCTGTGTGACTGTTGCTTGGCAGCCACCTCAGAACTGTTTACAGCTACTTATGTGACATTTCCAACTATTTATTGATAAACATCAATGAGCAACTGTGTTTAGAAACTGGAGCTTAGAAAAAGATCAAACATTTTCATACACGACAAACTGAATATGTGCATCCAGTATAGTGCGTGAAGGAGGACTGTACTTGGGACAGTGAGGGGCATGAAATGCGACTGTGATAACATGGGTACTAGGTCGGATAGGAGGGACCTGCAAAAGGAAGAAATCTGTAACTAGTTGGCCCAAATTATTGCTGCAGTGGCAAATGGCTGCCTATGGCTAACTTTTGAATCACGATTCATAGGCAATGGGACAGTGGAACGTGTGGTGGATGTGAAACTGTTTAAACGGACAGGTATGTGGATAGTGGTAGTTATGGTTAAACGATACTGAGATATTTCTGTTATTTTGTTTATCCAAATGCAAACAACAGGAATGAGTTGGTGTAACGAAGGCAACACTGCATAATCAGATGAAAGTTTTTAACTAGTTGTTGTCGAATATGTATTCTTACTCAGATGAACTTGTGGAACAGAATGAGCAAAATATAACATGTTGAATATGGGTCTGAGATACAATCCACTAATGAGTAATGTGTAATGAGTCTATATTATCCATGTTTACCAACTCACTTGAGTTAGTGTTACTGTATGTGCGTGATGTAATTTTCAGTTTTTATATGTTCACAACAAAAAGGACTGGATCCTTTTTGAGATTATTTTAAAGAAATTAAAAATTTCAACCTCAGCTGAGATCTTGCCAAACAGCAGAAAAAAAGTCTTCAAGCACTGGTCCAAATTACAAACAAACCAACCATGTCTACATACCTGTGCAGCTTTTTCATCTGATGTGCTGGTGGCCTCTGTAGTATCTTTGACAAAGTAGTTGTCAATAATATCACTTTGCTTGTAGTCCTGGTGGCAAACTGAGCACCGCATGACATTAACTAAAGACAGAAGAGAGAAAACAAGGAGAGACCAAGGTCAAAGAAAGTCAAACGTTCAAACACTGGACTGCAGATCAGGTCTTAAGCAAAACAAGTGATACTGGCTGATATTTAGGAAGAAAAATGGAAACAAGCCAAAGCAGCAGTCACCATCAAGGACAGGCCCATATCCAATTCATTACCTGGCTTATTAAGCTAAGAAAAGTCCTTTTTCCAAATAAAAGGGAATAATAACCGTCCTTCAGCAGACTGTCTTATAATTTCTTTTAGGTGAATTCCTGTTGTTATTATGAATTCTTGGCACACTGGAACATCCATGCCTATTCATGGAAGCTAATTGATTTAGTGCTTGTCTGCAGAAGATTCAAATCTCATCATTCTTGGCATTTTATTAGCATATTAAATCACATGGCCAGAAAACAACGACTGTTCCACTTAATCATTTTATCTGGCTTTGTTGATGGAATTACTGCTATAATCAGATGCCAACAAATAATTAGTTCAGCACTTTCCCACTTAATTTCTAAATCTAATATTAGTCACAAAATGAAACTTAAAATTAATTAGTGTAACATAATACCCCTCCTCTACCTCATAAACCTATAAATCCCCCCACTTTCCCTCAAACCAGCTGAGGTAAAACCAGTGTAAACCGGTTTGAGCTGGTCTACACTGACTTGAACAGCATACGGCCGGTTTGTGTGAGCTCCAGCTGCATGAGTTGTTGTGTGATTGGTTGTGAGAACAGATGGACTAGAACTGTGTTGAGAAACCCACACAACCATACACAAAAGTACACACACAAAAACAAATGCACCACACTGATGTCACTTTGAACTGGACCTCGGCTCCACAACTCTATATATGCATAAACAAGTAGAAGCGTATTTTAAACTGGACAGGGCTCTCTGCTTTAAAAAAAAAAAAAAAAAAAAAAAAAAAAAAATGCGAGGGGAAAATAAAGCTACAGCATGCTTAAACACACACAGGTTGATTCAACTAATTCAATTAATTATCCAAATCCAAAATTATCCCGCAGAAGTAACTTGCATTAGTAGACAACAACAGGTTAACCACAAGTGATCCAGGCAAAACAGATCCATACCAAAAAGTTTAAGTCTGGGTATGAAGCAACGCTGAGCTTAAAAGTCCACATCTAACTTTGTACATCAGATAAAGCATTACTCAGTAACACCGTCAGCTACTTTTGGTTATTTCAGTAATTACATCTGCAAGAAGCACTACAGCACAGTTCACAACTGTACTGCAGCCCTGACCCTCTGCCAGACTGCAGGTGCTAGCATGTTTTGGCAATGGTGCCATTCAGAGAGCATCGTCTACATGTGCACTGTCAGCAGGGGGCAGTGTTAAAAAAATATTTTGGAACAACTTTTAATTTTGGCTCGTCTTGTGGTTTTGCTCAGAAGAGCAACAGAGAACAGAGAAGTCATAATGCACCAAGAACTTCTTCGTAGTGAAGTGAAACTGAGCAAGAAAAAACACAGTCCACTGTAATCACTTTCTGATATGTGACTTTTGGCATTTTGGACCTCTTCAATATGAACTTTGCCATCATCATTTTTCCTGGTTGTTTATTTTGTGTTATTTATTTTGAAAACTGCACTCAAGCACATTTGCATTGGCTGCATCCATCACTCTGGAGAGCCAAACACCTACAGACACAAACATAGTTCAGGTCAATTTATCCAACAAGGGTCTGAAATGCAAATGTCTGAAATTATTGGGTCTCATTACTGGGTCTGCCAGCTAACTAGTACATAGTCTGTATCGATATGAGACTAGGGCAACACTCCAGCACAGCCACCATCCTGTGTCTTGCCTCCTTAAAGCTGTATCCAGGCAGCTCACTCACCTAAACAGAGTATTTCCAGTAATGTGTGACCACATCTGAAACAGACCAGACTTTCTTGCTTTGTGCTGGATATGAGAGAGGAAAACTGTGGGTACTATCCCAATCTGATTCTCCCAAACTTGTTTCATGTTCATGTGTGAAACAAATTTATAATAAATTACAACAGCTATTACAGCCAACATTATAAATAAGAAGTATAGAGGTTCAGACACAAGAATGAATGAATGAATTCATCAGCATACTTATCTATTAACTTTCCCCACATTAGTGAATTTGACTTCAGAAATAAAATAAGAAGAAGACATGCCAAACCAATTACTCTTTTCTTTTACCCATTGCTTTGAATGAAACCAACCTCACCATTAAGCAAACTGGTGTTGACACTTATTACTAGGACTGCACGATTTTGCATAAAACAAGAATCACGATTTTTTTGCTTAGAATTGAGATCACAATTCTCTGACGATTTTCTTTTCCAGTATAAATATTTATTGCACTTATTAACTGCATATCAACTTTGTAACAGTTGAGACTGAATATAAAAACAATAAATAAACATAAAAACAACAAATGTTTCACATTTTGTCGTTGCCGCAAAATGTTGTACTGCTTGATATTCCGTCTCCACCGTTGCTCGACACTGTGTGTATAGAGCAGGTAGTGCAACAATAGAAAAATAATTGCGGGACGGCACTGTGTAGTGTTTGTCTAGGGTGTTGATCATTTTCCTAAATCCCTCATTCTGCACAGTGTTGATGGGAGCCATATCTTTGGTCAGGTGATAAGTAATAGCCTCCGTAATTTCTTTGTGCCTGCGGGAGTT